CATCTCCCTTTTGGGGCTTCTTTTTAAATGCAAATCTAAAAATGGGTTTGAGGCATTCATAATTCAGCATATTGTTCTTAGCAATGCTTTTCCTCTTGGTGCCTTGGGTTGTTTTTTTTTTTTTCCAGCAAAATAATTCCAGTGAAGATTTTGAGGTGAGCTTATTTATGAAAGAGTTGTAGTGTCACTGGGGTTTAGCCTTCAGTCAAATCTGAAAGGAGTCATGCAAAGGGCAAGTGAAATTTTGGGATTATACTGYGATTTATCTGCTTATGTGAGGAGAAGGCTTTCCTCATCCTCCTCCCTTACCTGTGGCTCTCAGCAGGTTGGATCTCTTATCCAGGGCTGCCTCTGAGAGCTGGGAGARGCCAAAGGCAGTTTTCCATTTAAAAAGGCTGCATGTGTTGATTACTTTTAAGGTTATTTTGCTTTGCAGGTACTTCTTATTTGGTTTTTTTTTCCTGATTGCTGATGCTTTGAAAGTTCTAAACAACATCTGGGATGAAGTCAGCGATTAAATGTGACTTTTCCAGAAGAATCCTTCCACAGGATGTGAATCTCTAGTATGATAATACTAAGAAAGTGAGAGGGGAATGTCAGGCCTGCTCCTCCTGCATCACATGGTCCAGGTGGCGCAATCCCAATTACTTTTCCTTGGTAGGTCACTCCTGGCTGGTGCCTGAGCCCTTTGCAGACTCTGGCAACAAATGACCTTCTAATCCCGTGCTGGCAGGGAGGTGATTTGTGTTACCTAATGGATCTGTGCCCTCCTCCCCAGTGCCTCGTTAAAGTGCCCGGCACATGGTGCCGGCACCGGGAGCTGTGGGAGCCCACCRTCAATCAGTATCATTACTGGGGGCTGCCACTGGTCACACAAATCTCCCCAGGAACAGGGAAAAGGCAGCCTGAGAGAATCAGATGGAACAACCTTGGAATCTCTCCAGCGGCTGCTGTCGGATCAAAGTGGCTGGAAGCACGAGATCAGCGTATTGATWCCATCTTGCAGCTGAATTCTCTTTGTGAAGTCCCTGCCAGGCAGTGGCTCAGGGCTCCCAGACAAAGAGGATCGATCAGGGTGACTTGATGAGCTGAAGGCTTGGAATTTAGCCCCTCCTGGTTAATGGCAATTCTGCTGTTAGGAGCTTCACAATTCCCTGTCTTTTAACTCAGTCATGTTGGGCACTTGGCTGCTTGCTGCCACGATTCAGGTGCTCATTTAGGAGAATGTTGATATTTGGATATCTGCTGGTTTCTGTGCTGAACCACTGATCAGACCATTCCTTTTAAGAATTTCCTAATTTTGTATATCAGAGCAGCCAACTTCTTCTTGTCCCAGAACATATAAAAGCGCTGCAGCGTTCCTGAATTCATGTGGATGGGGTGAGCAGCCAGTTCATCAAGAGAGCCACCAGGTCCAGGTTCTTCAAGAGCTGATCTAGCCTACGAAAACCATCTGAGCAAATCACATCTGATCTTAAAAATTCCTGTTGGAGCTGGACCCGTTCAGAAGTGTACATTGACAATTAAATGACAGAAGATGCTCCCAGGGCTGCAGSCCCTCTGCTCTGGAGCCAGGCTGGGGATGTTCACCTGGAGAAGGGAAGGATCCAGGGGGAGCTTAGAGCCCCTTSCAGTGTCTGAAGAGACTTCAGGAGAGCTGGAGAGGGACTGGGGACAAGGGATGRAGGGACAGGACACAGGGAATGGCTTCCCAGTGCCAGAGGGCAGGRATGGATGGGATATTGGGAAGGAATTGTTCCCTGTGAGGGTGGAGAGGCCCTGGCACAGGATGCCCAGAGAAGCTGTGGCTGCCCCTGGATCCCTAGAAGTTTTCCAGGTGAGGYTGAAYRGGGCTTGGAGCACCCTGGGGGAGTGGAAGGTGTCCCTGCCCATGGCAGGGGTTGAAATGAGATGGTCTTCAAGGTTCCTTCCAACCCAAAACCTTCTAGGATTTTAAAATCACATCACTTAAGCAACGGTGTCTGAGGCACAGCTATGTGATTAGGAGCTGTTTGATGCAGAGTTTTTGTTGGAAAGTTGGAAGGAGGCAAGAGCTCATCTGGTAGAAGCCGTTGTTCTGCCTCTTAATGACAGAAAAATGTCCAGAACTGATGTTCAGGTGCGGCATTGAAACAAATGGTTTCTTTGGTTAATCRCGTATTTTCTTGGCTTCCCTCCTCTTCAAAAGATTCTCGGATGCCTTGGATGTAAATTCCTAGAGTGGAATGACATCTGACAACTCTGCGTGCCAAGGCAGCAGGGAGAATCCACTGCCCAGCTGAATATGTGATTGTGGAGTTGAATTGCCTCAGTTTCCCAGTTCTGTGCCCTTCCTGCTCAGATTGTGGTTGGATTCAGCTTTCAGCTGTTAGATCTTGATCTGCAGAGGGCAAAGTGGCTGGAGACCACATTTCCTGAGCACTGAATCAATTCTGTCCCTCGCCTTTCAGTTGTTGGTATAAATTACACAAGCTGCTTGGTTTTTTGCCAAAATGTTCCTTCTCCTGAATTGTTTGAGATTTTCCCTGGCTTCCTGTAGCCCAGCTGTCAGTGTGTCCAGCAGAACACTGCTCCAGCCAAAGCAAACGCCACTCGCAGCATTTCCTCCCCCAGCTCTGTCCCTCCAAGGATGGTATTGACCTTTTTCTTGGAATATTTCCAGCAGCATACCAGGAATATTTTGGCCTGAAGGATATTGCATTGCTGACTAATGCTGCCCTGGACATACTTGTGTGTGGAAATTTTTCCAGGAGATTACGTGAACTCACTAGATTAAAAAAAAAACCCAAACCAACATCTTAATGAAACAAAGCTGAAGTCTTGAGTGTCTTATCTGCTTCCTTGGGCTATAACACCCGGATTACTTATCCAGTTGTTTCCCATCTGGATTTTGAGCAGCTGGTTGTTCTTGTCCTCATGTATTACCTTGTTCTGCTTCTCCCTGCTGAGCTTCATTTGCCTCCTGAGGTCCTTTTTGGCATTTTCCAAGATGAATTTGAATTCTGATTCTCTCCTCTCCCTTGCTTGCAATTGCTTCCAAATTAATGCCTTCTGGGAATTCAATAAACATAGGGCCAGCAAGGCAGAACAGAAATTAGAGATACAGTGGGAATTGCGGGCTTTCAGTCCTGCCAGCTTTTCTAAAAGGAGTCAGTTTGGGTGTTTTAAGAGGAGGAATGGCAGTGCCTCAGTATTCATGGAATTAAGACTGTGAGCAGTTGGTGTTAATACCAACTTGATCTGGTGCCTGTCAACATAAACCTGGGTCTGTTCTGAGAAGAAATGTCTTGGAACTAAGTCCATTAAGATGCTCTCTCCAAATGCTGGCTGAAACAGATATTCARACATAAACAAGCCAAGCAGCACCTTATTTTCCCTCGCTTTTTTGTGAAATGAGTGAAAGTAGATAGACAGGCTCCAGGAAAAACCAAAATATTTTCAGATTTTATAGTTTGTGGACAGACCCCATCGAAGACATGTCAGTCAGAAGGGAAAAATTTGCTGGAAGACTTGAGTGTCCTTCAGGGGTCATGAGTTACCAAATCAAATGATTCCCTGGACCTGTGAAGAATTAAATGTGTCTGTTTGCATCAGTGACCACGTGAGGAAAACCGGCTTGTTTGTGGTGCTGCAAATCAATTCCTGGGATTCAGTCTGTGCTGCAGTGGGAAGGGATTGCATTTGTTTGTCACTGTCTCCTGAGGTTGTCACTGGGTCTGGAAYGAATCCCTCCTCCTCTCACAGCAGCCCATGGCTGTTTGTCCTGCACARCTCGAGCTATTCAGCACATCCACGGGACAAATCTGAAAAGGGATTCAGGAGTCATTCCCATCKGGGATGCATTACTTCCAAAAACCTACTCAGCAAAGGGAATATTTGTTCTACCTTTGTGAAGGCAGCTTTTTAACTTTGTGGGAAACCTGGTTCTGCCTCCAGAGCAGAATATCTTAGAAATTCACATGGGAATTCAAGTTTTGACTTGGGAAAATCTCATSTCTCCAAAGCTGTCTGCTGGGTTCATGTTTGTTTAGCCCTATTTCAGAGTTAGCTGAAGATGAAAATGCTGCTTAATTGGGATACTGGATATTTTGGTGACGATTTTATGTTAAGATTCAAACAAACAGAACCCCCCATAACCCACCCAGTAACCATAGAATGGTTTGGATTAGAATGGACCTTAATCTTGCTTTAAATCCTTCTGTTCACTGGATGACAGAGAACTGACAGAGAACTGAAATCCTTGGAATATTGCTTGGAGAACACAAGCTCTGCCTCGTGCACCTCTCCCTGCCTTCTGTCTTCACCTGCAGTATTTGGTGCACAGGTTACACAGCTCCTCTCCTCTGACACTGGAAGTTGGCACATTCCAGCTACAGGGAGGCTGGAATAAAACACTGATGTAGCCTTGAATAACTTCTCTTGCTTTCTAAAGAATTGGCCTGCAGTTAGGAGGATTTATACACATCAAAATGAGGCAGGTGGAGATGTTCCAAATCCTGTGTATTTTGCTGCTCCCTTCCAGGTGAAAATGTAGGAGACAGAAGAAGTCTCTAAAGGATGAGTTAGGCTTTGGCCCTGCTCAGCTGTGTTGTTGGTCTTAGAGAAGTGGAAAATAACTGTTGTGAGGATGGAGGGGTTTTAAAGTGAAGAAATCCCATGTTTTATGAGAGAGTAGAGCTTTTTGTTGYTAATAATTAGTTGTAGGGACTGTTAAATTCATTCAGTTCAACTAAAATTATTGAATGACTTGGTAGAAAATGGAGCGATGAATTTTCTTTAATTATCATCTCAAATCACAAATATTTAAGAGTAAAACTGATGCCTGGGATTGATATAGGAAAAAAAAAGTGACTTTGCAATTGTAAAGTCACATAACTTTTCCTTGCAGGAAATTGAAATGCACACTGTGGATCTGTTGGACACAGTAAACCATTTTTAAATCACTTGCTTAAAACTTGTTCTGAAATGGTTCCTTGAATGCATTTTTTTTCTTCTTTTAGTGGGGAAGACTTCCTTGATCACCAGGTTCATGTATGACAGCTTTGACAACACCTACCAGGTAAGTTAATCCCTATTTTTGTCTTGTGCAAGACTCCTCTGMTGCCATGCCTTCCATTGTGAGAAAAGTCATTCCGTAAGAGTTGGGGCCCTGACTGTGAAATTCTCGATTGTAAAATCTTCATTTTAATCACTTGCCAGAGTGGCACTTCTGGGTTGGATGCTGCTCCGGGAGTTTTTCTGCTGCTTGCAGCAGGATGAGCTGTGATTCTAAAGGAATATCCAAGGCAAAGTCAGGGAATAGCAGTTGTTAAGTCTGCCAGGGCTTTTTCCCACCATTTTCCACCAGACCATCACTAATGTAATCCCTTGTGTGGATAGCTTAACAGGTACCCAGCTCAAACTAAAGGAATCATATCAAATGTAAAAGAAAAGGAAAATTTGGGAAGGTTAGAAAAAAATGTTACAGATTAGCATTGTGCAGTTCTGGAGAATGGTCATTTTTGCCCACTCCCAGAATTCAGCATGAGCTCAAAATGTGGCAAGATATAAAAGTACTTCAGTTTCCTAAAGTGTGTCTCCTCCAAGCAGAACATGTTTCATGACTTGGTTGCAGTTGGTGATGTTCTGAATACATGAAACTGAGAAAATCTGTTCCTTGGTGCCTGGGAAGGTTTTTTTTAGGGGGCTGGGAGGAGGAGGTAATAGAAAAAAAAATGAAAATGTTGTGATTCTTCTGTTCCTCAGTGTCTACCCAAGGATCTTATTTAACGGAGTGATTTCCCTCCTGCCTCTTCAGTAATTCCTCCTTGCTTCTGCTAGGAAAATGAGATGGGAACTTCTCCCTGAGCTATGGGAAGAGCCAAGCTTGCATGGTGTGGGAGGGCTGGAATCACTGCTCCCAAGGGAGCAAACATCCTCGCAGATTCCTCCCACTGTAATTACATGGACTTTCAAGGCAATTCTTTGATTTCAGATGGGGTTTTTCTTCCCACGGTATTTTTCTTTCAGGACTGCTCCTTTTCCTTATAGAGTTTGTGTCCTAGTTCTTCCTGGAGGAGGTTTGACCCTCTGTGCTTTGGGATGATATGGGCGTCACCATGGAAAGGTGGTCTGATGTAATACATTAAATGATTGCAAAATCCATGAGTGGCATTTAGAACAGTGACAAATCCTAAGGGCTTCCAAGACAACTTGGATTTAGGCATTAGTGCTGCCTGCCCAGTTTGGGTGTTAATGRACTTGGGCCAGAGCCATTCGTCCAAACCCTTCAGTTTTCCTGGAGTCGTGACTGAGGTGAGGGCTCACATCCTATTGTGCTGTAGCTGGAAGATAGAATCACTCACAAAAGCTCCAGGAATTTGGCCAGAATCACACTGTGTATTGGTGTCAACCCAAAACAGACATTTTTGGATGCCCAGGGGTCTCTAGAGACCCCTCAGAGTCCAGTATTTAATGCCACATCATACCCTGATCATGGGTGACTGGAGCTGGAGGTGAGTTCAGGGAGGATCTGCTTGTTCTGGACGTTTCTGGCAGATTTTGAATGCATATTTTTCTGAAACCTATCATTTGAACACGGGTTTTTGTGCTCAGCTGTTAAAAATAGAAAGCTGCCATTTAATAAAATCCGTGCTGTGCATTGGATTCCTTTGCTCGCTGATGGATGAGAGGAACTCAGCTGTGTCCCTCTGTCTTATCAATAAGAACTTGCTGTTCTGTGTCAGAAACCCAAACACCTGGAATAAAGCTGTGCAGTTGGAGGTGTTGATTTTACCAGGAGTGATTCCCTTCCGTGGGCATGCTGGGAATGATTTCCCTTGTGCTGTGGCACCATATGTGACATATCACAGAAGATCTATTTTACTAAAGGTCTGGGATATAGAAAGTGTTGTTCTGGTTGTGATATATTAAATAAATTGCTTATTGAGTCAAGCTATGTCTTAAAAAAAGAAGCCCAGCCTGTTTTTCTTGCGGGTTCTCATGCTCCCCTGAAAATCTCTGTAGGTTTGCTGACATTTTATTTAAGAGCTGTTGGTTTTCTTCTCTCTTACAGGCAACAATTGGCATTGACTTCTTATCGAAAACCATGTACTTGGAGGATCGAACAGTGAGTAAGATTTTGTTGCTCTTCTCTCTGATCAGTAGGAATGAGAACCAGCATCTGGTTTTGTGCAGCCCACACTTGTGAGATCACTTGGAAGCACAGGCTGAGCCTTCATCTCCCAGCTGCTTCCAGACTGACATGTGCTGTGGAGATGCAGCAGTAGGGAATGGGAAATGGGAAATCACTGCTAGGTTCGTGTGTGCAGGGCTCTCTGGTGCAGTTTGGGAATGTCACAAGGTGCTTTAATGTCATCTTCTGTGAAGAGAGAGATGATASAGATGATTCGAGGGGTGTGAATGATGGTGGGAGTCTGGAGAAGGGGGGACCATGCTTCAGCTTTTGATGCCAAGACAGGTAAAATATAAATTGCCAGATGTGGCCAGTTAATAATTGGTTCCATCTTAATATTCCTTATTTAAAAGGAAGGTGGCCTTTGATGAACTCAGAAATGAGCCTTATTTCTTAGCTTGGTGCAGTTTCAGCTCCTCAAGTGAAATCACTCCTCTGTGCAAGCAAACCTGTGGTTTAAAATGAGCTCAGATTCTTAATTAAGAAAGTCAGCCTCAGTTGAGCTATTTGCAGAACCAAAACTGCAGTGCTGCAGAAGCTTATGGGATTGGATAAACCCCCAATAAATGGGATTGGATAAACCCCTGATCAATGGGATTGCATGGGAAGTGCTTGAGGGATGAGATGTCCTTTCCATGGCCAAACTGGCTCTTGCACACCTTGCTAAACACGTTGCTTTTAGTGTGTCTTGCCTTTTCTTCCAGAATCTTGCTCGTAAGAGCCATTCAGCCACTCTGTGCATGTTACTTGGCAGTTTAGAGTTATAATGAGCATTTTATCCTTGAAAAACTGACATGAGTAGCTTTTCCAGCTTTTCCACCAGCATCCTTCATGCTGCTGGAGGTTGCCTGTGTGAGTCCTGAGGAAGGAGAGCAGAGCATGAAACTCTCGTGTAGGCAGAACTGCAGGTGAACATTYCACAGAATCACAGAATCACTGAGGCTGGAAAAGCCCTCCAAGATCAAATCCAGTCGTTGCCCAGCACTGCCGAGGCCACCACTAAGCCACGTCCCCAAGTGCCACATGCACACGCTTCTGAACACTTCCAGGGATGGTGATTCCATTGCTTCAGCCATAGCTTTCTTGTTGGTCCTCTCAGTTATGAAGCTGAGCCATTCCACTCCTCCCCTTTTGGAAGGGAAGCATTTTTGGGAAGCTGAGCTAGCTGCACCTCCCCGGTTTGGCTGCTGTTATCCCTTGGGAGAGATCGCTGTAAGGAGACTATATCCTGCTGCTCCCAGTCCCCAGGCACCTCCTGCATGAGTTTATCCTTTTTATTTAGCTTTTTTGGAAAAAGTAAAACATTTATTTACTCTTTCATTTTTAGTGGCAGTTTGGCTTTTTTAATTTTCTCCCACCCACAGATCAGGTTGCAGCTGTGGGATACTGCGGGTCAGGAACGTTTCCGTAGCCTCATTCCCAGTTACATCCGTGACTCTGCTGCTGCTGTAGTAGTTTACGATATCACAAGTAGGTATTTTGCACTGGGTTTGACCTTTTTTCTTATTTTTCTTGCTTGTTTGACTGATTTTGTTAGGTACGGTTGCAATTATGGGACACAGCAGGTCAAGAGCGGTTCAGGAGCTTGATTCCTAGCTACATTCGTGACTCCACTGTTGCAGTTGTTGTTTATGATATCACAAGTGAGTGGGGGGAATTCTGCATTTCTAATACTCTGCCCTTTTCATCCTCTAGCTTAGCTTTGCATGTCCTCTCACRTCATCTGCTTGGGCTCCATCCTGGCATGACAAAAGCGTGGTTCCTTTGCTTGTTTTACACAAGCCCCGTGGTTGCTGCTGTTGTAATGTATCAACTGTCTCACAAACATCGTTTAACCTTCCCTATCCCCTTTTCTTCAGTCCTCGAGTCCTGCCTGCTCTCGTTGCACTCTTCCATCTGCCTTGTGGTCATAACATCACCTGTGACTTTTGGTCTTCATGTTCATGGGTACCTGAATTCTGAAACTGGAGGCTTGTGTAGCTTGCTCCACTTCATTCACCCTCCCCCACCAAACACAATCTGGGCACGGGCTGGTGGGGAGAACGCATTAACATCACCTTTTCCTTGGAATCAGCCACTCTCACATGCTGCAAGATGTAAAACTTACCACTAAGCCCTTACCCTTTAACAATTGCTCTTTCATTTCTTACTAAGGTATGTACATTTTTGTCAACTAAAATATTAGTGCTTCTTGAACCCTTCTCTTTCTGTCCCTCCCCTCAGTCCAGACACCCCTTAACTTACCAGTTCCCACACTGASAAAGAGCAGAAGTTTTATTTTAGGGCAACTAAACCTTCAGACAATTTCAGTTCCAAACCAGAATTGACTGAGAACACGGCCTAATTTGACACAAATGTATAAGCTCTTGTCCTTTGATTTATAAATACTAGAGGATTACAAAAGGAACAGGGCCTTTACCTAGAAAAGCTCTAATTGTTAAAAATGGTGCTTTCCTTTGAGCTAAAATTACAGGTTAGCTGTGAACTCTGAATTTTTTCCTGACCCAGCAAATTCAATATTGCCTGGCAGTAAAGACAATTAAGACACTGGCAAGTGATCAAGTCTTGGCTGTCTAGCACACAATATATTACTTTGCAGTAGAAGCCATTAAAAAAATCAATACTTTTCAAGAACTGCTGCAGAGCCCCCCCTTTTTAAGTACTGAAACTCCTTTGGCTGCTCAGATGCTCTTTGTGTCACTAACTGGCAAATGCTGAGCTCTRTGGCAGCTTCCCTCCAACTCCTTTTTCCCTCTGGGATGCAACCTTTCAAGCACCATACAGTCTGGAATTCCTACCTTGCAGCTTTTAASGATGTAACATTAAGAAAAAATGCTTGTGAAGAGGTTAAATTTCTATTTCTGGTTCTATGCAAAGATTCAGAAATTGTTTTGAAGGCAAGTAAGTGTTCACTGCCACTGGAGTTGCTGGTGTGTTGTATAACTCTGGGAATCCCTARAGGAAATAAAAAGTGATTCAAGTGTACAAAATGCAAGGCTGGGATTGAGGATTTTGGGAAGCAGTGGAACTGTAGGAGCCTCTGTAGGTGCACAGTGTAGAGTGCAAAAATTAAYCCCCACTCCCTACAGAAAATACTTTATGAATACTTGAACTAAGAAAAAAGGAACTGAAACASAGTGATAAGACTTTTCATTTTAGGTGCTGTCAAAATCAGATTATAGATGGACTCAGTTCCCTCCCTGGCTTTGAATCCACCTGTAATGAAGCACTTGCCCACCTGAAATTATTGCCAGAGTTTCCGTGTCCTTTAGTAGGGGAGATTTAGGGTTTCACTCGCTGATTCTTCATCACCCTCTTCCGCCGACTCCACAGAATATGAAGCTTTTCTTTCCAAGTCCAGATGTATTTCCTGGTGACCTGTGAGGGACACCTGCAGTGATAACCCTCTCCACTGTTCTCTGATAGATGTAAACTCCTTCCAGCAAACCACAAAGTGGATCGATGATGTCAGAACGGAACGGGGCAGCGATGTCATCATCATGCTGGTGGGAAATAAAACAGATCTAGCAGATAAGAGGTATGGAAAAAATATCCAGCTTTCAAATGCTTTTCTTACTCTSCTGCTATTTTAAGGAGTATTTTTAATTGTATTTTTTTTCTGGAGATGGCTGTGACTAGAGAAATCTCAATTTTAAACCATTTTTCTTTTGGCTAAGCCAAATTTCCATCACAGTGCTGTGAATGAGTTGAAAAACCATCACCACCTTGTTCAGATGTCAGGAGAGAAGGGATTATTGACTGCAGCCTGCATCAGTGAATAAATAAACTGGTTACAGATATTTGTTCTTACTAATGTTCTGCTTAATGGATGGGACACCTATCCAGGGAAAATCGGGACAAAATTCCTCCCATTTGAGATGGTTACACTTGCAGCTTTGTTAAAACAGTTTGTTGTTGAGGATTATTTTTGGACATTAAAATGTAGTGATTGCTAATGGTTCAGACACAAAAGCACAGCTCCCTGAACAGGGATTTGGGGATGATCACTTGGCTGTTCCACTGGAATGCTGAGGTCTGCTTTGRGAGCCAGTGGCGATACCTGTCTGCAGCTGTGCATTCCATGCAGAAAAAAAAACTCCAATAAATGGTTTCAGAACTGTAATAAATGTTCATTTTAAGGTATTTGTCCAGTTTTTTTTTCCCTCTGACTCTGTGTCTTGTTCCCCAGACAAGTGTCCATTGAGGAAGGAGAGAGGAAAGCCAAAGAGTTGAATGTAATGTTCATTGAAACTAGTGCAAAAGCAGGATACAATGTAAAACAGGTGAGTGGCGGTTATTAACACACCCTCATGGGGGAGCACTTCCCTGGATATTGGGAGGCCTTGGCAGAGGGTCCCAGAGGGAATTTTAGTCCACACACAGCAAGGAACACCTCAGAGCTGAATTGCTGGCTGAGGTTCAGAAGGATCCCCGACCTTGTATCAAATTACTCAGGACTTCCTTCCCCTTAAATAACAGAGGAGATATGGAAGAAGCTTTGTGAGTACAGAATCACATCTTCCTGGGCTTTTGAAAATCCAGATTGGGTATTTGGGACTGAGAGTGAGACAACAAATTGGGGAAACGTCGTTGTGAGGGCTTTGTGATTCTGCTTCAGTGAACAAACAAACRAGAGGAGGTGGAGTGTGATGGCTTAAAATGCTTGCAGGGCACAGGGAGACAGTGAAACTGCTGTKCCCGCTCTGTTGGAAGGCACTGGAAGTGCCAGCAAATGTTCCTGGACAGCCAAAGCTATTTATTTCTAATAGATGAGGAGTTGCTTTTGAATCGGGGAAAGCAGTGAAACGTCTTTTGAGCTGATGGGGCTGMAGAAAAGTAATGGTTTATGTCCTGAGATGAGCTGTGGCTCTTTGAATTCAGACCTGAAGAGGGTGTAAACTCCTGGGGGTGCCTCTGCAGAGCAAACACACGTGTGGGGTGCTGTGTTCAGCTCCGTGTTCCCCACGTGTGGAATGCCATGTTCAGCTCCGTGTCACCCATGTGTGGAATGCTGTGTTCAGCTCCGTGGAATGCCGTGTTCAGCTCCGTGTTCCACAGGAGTAGAAGGAGCTGGAGCTGCTGGAGAGAGCCCAGAGGAGGCACCGGAGCTGCTCCAAGGGATGGATCCCTCTGCTCTGGAGCTGKGCTGGGAGAGCTGGGGGTGCTCACCTGGAGAAGGATCCAGGGAGAGCTCAGAGCCCCTTCCAGTGCCATGTCAGGGGCTGGGACTGGATGGATTTTAAGGTCCCCTCCCACCCAACCCTGCAGGGATTCTCGGTGTATGGATGGCATTCCACATGTATTTCGTGTATGTAGTTACACAGTTTCTATACCAAAAGGGTACCAGGAGTAATAAAATAGGATTATAAGCTACTTTATGTTCTAGACAGGACTAAAGGGTCTGTTATTAAAATGTCCCTTGACTTTGTCTCTAAGTGGCAAAATGATTCCCTATATAATGGGATAATTAYAGCAGTGTTAACTCAGAGCTGTTTCAGTGCATTGCCCACCATGGGCTGGCTTCCAGGGTCCCACAATTATCCTGCCACAACAGAGGCTGCTTGGTAATTAAGGCTTGGATTCTGTGCTGCAATTCTTAATGAGTGCTTAGATCTGGGGGCGTGCACTGAGAGCAGTTGCTTCACTGAGAGGAGTGATGATGATGACGATGTTGATGATGATGATGAAGCAGCTCTATACTCCCTCTTTCCTTGAGGGAGTTTCTGTGCCCTGACTCACTTTCAGAGGTTCTGTAGCCAAGCCTGTGAGGGAGGTGTGGCTTTCAAGGYCAGCAGGAACCCTGAGGATTTGATGGTGTGCAAAGACATGAGTGGATATTCAGAAAGAATTAAAAATGGATTTTTCTTCCAAGTTTTGATCCATGTGTTATAGCTGTGGACTGGGATGTCCAAGGATTTCAAAGCTATTCTATAATCCAGAATATTTGTAACTCTCATTTTTGTTAGTTCAATGAGTGTTGTTTAAGCAATTATCAAAGGCTAAGACTATTAATAACGCTGCTTAGATAGTCCTATTTCTTGCAGCTTCTCAATTGAATTGTGTGAATTTATTTTATTAACTGCAATAAATTCTCCCCAGTGAAATGGGAAAGTACAACTGCAGAACAGATCCTCTTTCCATAACCTGTGTAAAATCCTTAATAAGCTGAATGTTAATTTGACCTTCCCATAACTGATAACTTCTATCCACAATATATTCTGATGCTACAGAACAGTCACTGTCCAAGTTAAATTTCATACAGGATTTCTAATTCAAGTGTCAAAATATTTTAGAAACAAAGGCCATRTTTTGACTAAATATAATGAAACACATTGATGTGAAAATTAAGATCACCTCTGCCAGAAATTAAATATTAATGTAAATGTGAATTTTGGRAGTAATTGTTCTGTTCCACTAAGGTGTAGGTTCAGATTTAGCAATTAATTAACAGCTYGGATACTGCATGTGACTGAAATGTGTAGATTAGGGAATATGAACTGGTTTGTTTGGGGTGGTTTTATTTCCGTGCAGAACTCCTGCCTGTCAGCACTGAAGGTTGTCAGTGCTTCGCTTCCCAGCCTACGGGAGTGGTCCAGGAAAACAGACAGAAAATTCTCTTTTCCCAGCACAAAATCTGGGGTAGGGAATGGCACAAGTTAATGCAGGAGAACACTTGGGATGAAGTTGASCCCTCAGCCCCCTCCATACTTGGCTTCTTTGCATTTCCATCCCCTTCCTTGCGAGGTTTGGGTTCCTGGGTGGTGTCAGGCCAGGCACCAGCATTCTCCAAGGGGTGAGCTCCATGAGGCTTTAGAATCAATGTTGTCCCATTAAGGGTGTGGAAACAGCTGATTTTCTTGTCCTGCTCAGGGAGGGAATAACTCTGACTTTTCCAGCTTTTCCTTATCAGCGGGAATCCAGGGGATTTTTGTCCTTGAGTGCTGCTTTTAGCTTCTGGCTCATCCTTTTCTGCTGGAAGGCAGCTCGGATAAGAGAGAAGGGCACTGCCTTCTGCTTGTGCTCCTGCAGCTGTCCTGCAGATGCAGAGGCCTGGCTTTGTGCTGGGACTCCAGCAGGGGGTTACACTGTGCTTCCAGCAGCAGCTATTCCAGTGCCAGCAAAGAAGCAGAGGGGAATGTGCTGTTGCCAGGCTCTTTTTTTTTTGCCATTCCTTGTGCCAGGAAAGGGGAGAGCTCCTAGGATGGCACCTCAGAGCTGGGTGCTAGTGGATCTGTGATGCAGAGCTGTTTGCAGTCCCTTCACACTTGCTGTTCCTTCTGGCTTTGGGTAGGGGGTGTTTGAGGAAAAAATGAGTGGATATTAGGGAATACAAGTGGTGGCAGTGTTCTTTGGGGTTAAACTGATGCAGTGGAGGGAAAAAGATTGGCTTTTGGATCCTGCAAAGGCTGATTGCCAGGGGAGCCTTAAGCTGRAGAAGTAGATAACTTGCTCCATTTAATGCAGAGAATTGTAGTCTCTGATTCATTCTGTCAGCCCTGAATAAGCTTTAAAAGACTTTGCGATTCCTGCTCTGTCTCGGCAGTCTGTATTTCAAGGAATCTTATTGTTAGTCCGTGGATTTCATGCCCAGAATATGTCAGGGTTCATTTTGCTGTCTTGTAGAAGGAGAGGGGAGGGAGACCCCTTGAATTCCTCCTTCCAGCAGTACCTGGCATGCTCCACRCTGGCCCTGGAAGAGCCAGGGGATGAATGTGCTCCTTGGCAGAAGAACTTTCTCACGACAGCAGCTGAGGGAGCACAGCCCCTCTGTGACCCTTTTCTCACAGAGCTGGGCTCTTTCTCCTGTCTTCTGATTCTTATCCATCTGATGGGCAAGAGTTATCCTCAGAGTTGCAGARAATGAGAATTAGGGGAAGATTTTTGTTTGCCTTGCATGGGAGAACAGGTTTCTTGCCTGGCCTTTCCATCTGGCCAGTGATCCTCCTGTCCTTTCCATATTGCTGCTGGAGTGTGGCTGAAAACTGGTTTATGCCTGCAGTCCTTTGTGAGCCTGATCTCTTGGGATTTATTGGCTGGAGCAGCAGGAAAGGCACAGTTTGGCAAATGGCTTGAAACTAATGGGGAGAGATGAGGCTTTTTTCCAGAGTTTCTATCAGGAAGCAGATTGCAGAGTTGAACACCGAAGGAGAGTTTGTGTGGCTTTTAGTCTTTCAGCTGCTGCATTTTAACTCCTCCCTTGGAAAAAAAAAGTCCTGGATGCTCATCAATACTTGTGTTTTTATACCCACACAAACATTTCAACATGTACATGTGTGTACAGACATACACTGGCTCGGGGCTGACAGCACCAGAAAGCTCAGAGGGCCCTGTGGGAAGGCTGCTTTCCAACCATCAGGAAGTTTCCCTAATTGGATTTATTCACATATGCTGGGGCTGATAAGCAGAAGGGTAATAAGAAAGAAAGTTGATTTTTCTTAGTTGCCAAATTCCTATTTTTAGTCTGATAATTTAGGGGAGAAATACTGCTAAAAGCATCATTTTATTCCTGCTCTTAATGTAAAGAAAGGATTACTGTCAYCCGTGTGGTTTAAATGCAGGAATTGCAGTTGGTTCCATCAGCTGAGGATTTTTTAAAGACTCCTCACCCTTCCCTTGTGTGGGCATTCCTGCTGTTGGTTTAGGTACAGTTTAGCATCTGGACTGTTGTTGGCTTATGAGGATTTCCCTGTGGTTTTCAGGGAGGCTAGAAGGTCTAGGTTAATGGCAGAGGGCTCTGGGACAGAAACCCAGAGCGAGGTGTACTAAGATATTTTTACTTTGAAATTGTTGGCTCAAATCAGGGAGTTATGTCAAGGATCGACTTCTCAGATCCCTGTCCTTGTCTTGGATTCCACTGTGTGCAGATTCCTGCCAGGAAAGGTCCCAGACAGGCCTGGGGGCTCGCTCGTGGTCAGCTTGGAGGGAGGGGGCTGTCAAGCCAATAAAGTTGTCCTGACTGTGTCCCCAGCATCATTTGGACAGTGGGAGCCAAAGCGGTGACGGCCCTTGGGCAGGGAGCCGCRGGGCCGGTCGGGTACCCACATTCCTGATGTAAACAGGCTGGCAGCGGCTTGGCTCGGTTTTCTGTGGAAAGTGGGTCACTGGGAATAAGTGGTTTAGCTTTGTGTCATTTGAGGAGAAGCAGGAAAACATGCAGTAATGGAACACAGCAGGGCTGACGTCAGAGCCGCACCGGGCGAGCCGGGACTCCGGAGTGGCTTCAGGGATGCAGCGGGAACGCACTGATGGATGGAGGGCATCCCGTGCAGGAGGGGATGGGCAGTTGCACTCAGGGCAATTCTCTTGCATTAACAGTGAGCAGATCTGTGGGGTCCTCACCCAGAGGGCCAGGGAAAAGCCTGAGCCTCAGGGGCAAAGGTAGGAAATGCAGGAGAGAGAATCGGTCCCATTCCATCTCGCCTTCTTCACATGGAATAAAACCGTGAGGAGAGTTTGGAGCTCAAACCTTGCTGGGAAACTAGAGATGGTGTTCAAGTGAGAGGCTTTGTATGYGCTTGTTCTGTGCTTTATGCCTTGAGTATGGACATAGGATAACCATGGAGTGAGCCCTGAATGAGGATTAGGATTGGGCACATTCCTTTGTCTGGTTCATAGGAGCCTGAGTCACAAATAGGTGAGRCCTGAAGAAATCCTTTCTATACATCTCATTTACTGACACTCTTCCATGTGTGTCAGCTCAGCTAATACAGTTTCAGATTCCTGGATGGTGTGTTTGTCTTTATCAGTGTGTCCATGCTCCTTTGTGATCCTCTGGGGAGGTGTGAAAACTGAATTCCCACCTGGCATGGGGAAGTTGTTGGGGTCCATGGACCTCCATGGCAGGTGTGAGCTGGAAATGCTGGATCCCACCCAGCCTGTTTGCAGAGAAGGTGYGGGAGGTTTGCTGCTCGCAGCCATTTGATCTCCACTAACAAGAGCTGTGCTTTGCCCTTTTCTAGGAATAAAGGTTATATTTGGTGTCAGGATTTTGGGGCTGAGCAGCGTAAATAGTGCTAGAGGCTGTGTTGAATCATTGTTTGAACTGTCTCAGCTGGGGGCAGCCCTTGTTTTCATCTGTTCYCTGTGTGCTTCTTTGCAGCTTTTCCGACGCGTGGCAGCTGCCTTGCCTGGGATGGAAAGCACACAAGACAAAAGTAGAGAAGACAGTATCCTTTCTGTGCCTGTGCCAGGCATTACCCTGGACGAAAAAAGCCCACTGCAGCCCTCGCTGAGCTCGTGGACATCCCAAAAACAGGGGGAATAGGGGCAAGTAACCTTCAAGCTCTGAGGAAGAAGGAGTGGTGGGTTGGAAGGCTGGGAGCAGGGGTGTTGAGGGTGGAGGCAGCAGGGGAAGGAATGGTAATCCAAAAGGATTCTTTGCTTGGTATTTGAACATGTTGGATGTGGGGAGGAAGGTGGGAGARAACAGCCACAGAAAGGTCTGGAAAAAGAACCCTTTGGCTGTTGCAGATCTGACTGAAGAATCCAAGAAGAAGCTGTGTTGGAAGGGACCTCTGCAGGCCCCTTCTCCAGCCCTCATGCTCAAAGCAAGGCTGACCCCCAAATGAGGCCAGTTTCTCCAGGTCAYATTCAGGGAAACTTGGGAAATCTCCAAGGATGGAGATCCCATAACCTCCCAGGGYGGCCTGTCACGTCCTGGACCCTGGGCAGCATCTCTGGTGTGAGGGACAAGACTCAATCTTTGAGATCAGTCTCAGCCAAGGGAAAKGAGCTGGCGTGAGGGATGGAAAAGGGGTGGACAAGCAGTATGGCTGCACTGGAATCACTGACCTGGCCAGGTGGGTGTGTTTGGAATAGCAGCTTTTCCAGGGCTGTTGGTTTTATTTGCAGCAGGGATCATGGAGCTGGCAAATAGAGGAGAAATGATGCCTTGGAGGAAGGAAGGAAGGCACAGGAACTGAGGGAATGGGAGAAGCCTGGCTCTGAAATTCCAGCAGACCATCTGATGCATGGGGGACAGAAGCATTTGGGAAGCTGGGGATTGCAGCTGCTKAGACACAGGCTTTGTGCCATAGGGACTTGACTGATCAGAAATGTTGGTTATGCAGGTCCCCAAAAGGTTAATGAGCACCAGTGTTTATTAATGAGGGGGAGTAGAGTGCACAGGCAGGGGCTGTGTCAGGCAGTTTGATCACCAGTTTCTGAATGGGCGTGCAGTAAGGGCACTGGGAATTGGGCTTCCTGCAGCCTGCAGATAGCAGGGATGCAATAGGATTGTCTCCYAGGCAACTGCATTAGGATTAACGGGGACACTTTTACAGAACATGGAGGGTTCAAGGACCTTGACCCACCCATGCTCTGAGATGAATCTGGCAAGGTTCATGTCAAGCATCTCTAACTTAAATACACATCAAGCTTTAGATCAGCCAGATGGACCAAACATTGGACATGAATTATTGGTCTGTTGTTCCCTTTCCATGTTTATTTGCTCCAAACCTCTTTAAAGAACTTCAACCCCCTAAGGAAATAAGTTGGAAGTACCAGCTGTGTGACCTCTTTGCCTCTGTGTTCGCTGATAAGGGGAACGCTGGAGACTTGTGAGCAGCTCTGAGCTGGGGATTAGCATTCGAAGCTGCTCCTGGGAAAGGCTGCGTGAGGTTGGAACTGTAGGGCATCCRTTGGGAATTCGAGTGCTGCAGAGGGAGTCGCTTATCACAGGCAGGTCCTGAGCAGCCAGCTCTGCAGTGACCTTGTSGGACAGTAGCTGTCATTGGAAAGGGGAATTGAGGCTGATGGCAGGGCTTTGGTGGCTGCTGGTGGGAGCAGAAAGGTTTCAGTGAGAAGGGATTGATGGAGAGGTCAGGAAGGCATAGCTGAAGCTCTGGGGGTTAGTGATGTGCAGTGGTGCCTTTTGGGGACATGAAGTGGTGGTGGGCTTGGTGGACCAGGCCGATCCAATGGTCGCAGAGGGCTCTTCCAACCTGAATGATTCCATGATTTTGCAGAAACAGTGATTAGACCCTTCAGTGTATCCAGGCATCCTTAATTCCCACAGCAGGAGATCAGTGGGATTGCTGGGAAGAGCAGGCTGGTTAGAGACAAACATTTGGGGTCTGACATTGTTCCTGCTGCGTATTTAATGTGCCAGTGCCAGGGCAAGAGGGGCARGTGAGAAACCTTTGCTTTGGAGCTGGTCTTTCCAAGTGTTTCAGTAGGAAGCACTGAAAATGCCTGTCAAAATCCTGCTCCTGGTAGGGAAACAGAGTTGGAGACGTGTTTGCCTTAACTTCCTRCTTCCAGTGATTGACATAAAACTGGAAAAGCCTCAAGAGCAGCCTGTCAGTGAAGGAGGCTGTTCCTGCTAATACCATGTGGCTTCCACCTTTCTCCAGAACATCACTGCTTTCCCTCCCTGTCCTCTTCATTGACTGCAGTGTGAATATTGGCTTGAACCTTCCCCTTTCCGTAATAACGTATCGCAGTTCATCATCGCTGGCTGTCTCGTGGAGATGATCTTTAGCTTCACAAGCACACCCCACACACACACACACACACACCAACAAAATGTCAGTGTCTTCATTATTTATAAAAAAAAAAAAAAAGAAAAAAAATCCAAACAAAAAATAGGTACAATTTCTTAATATTTGTTCTTTTTTTAATATGTTATGATATTGCACTTTGAAATGATGGCAACCGAGTAAGTTTGGAATTGGACCTAGATRAGATGTATGTGCAGAAGAAGGCTTGCAAATCTGACCCATTGGATTTCTCTCAGAAACTGGGAACGCGTAGACAGCAGGCGGAATCATGGGGGGAGGCGGCAGATGCCGAGGGTTAAACGCTTATCCTTGATAATTAAACACAAATGAACCCCGGGCTCTAATTGCGTTGAGCAGAGCGAGTGTGCCTGGTGCCCAAACCCAGCCCGGCCCTAGCGGGGTTTGACTCCGCCGGCTGCCGGAGCTGCCCAGGCAGCGGGGACACGTTTCCGAGGAAGCATACCGGGAAATACGGACGGGCTCTTTGGGATGAGTGGCTTCTGGAGGATTTGGGGGGGAAGGAAAGGGTGGATGTGCATTAGCAAAACACTTGCAGGAAACAGGGAAATAATGTTCCGAGTGCAAAATGAGTTTTTCAGAGCGTTTTTTTTTTTTTTCTTTTTAAGTAGAACACCAATGAAGTGAATTATTACTGCCCAAGAGATGGGAATGTAACGTTTCAGCTGTTTGGAGGAGAAAGCATTTTGCTTCTTTGTTTTTTTAGGGGAAATACTGAAATCAGGACTGGCACTAAAACCTGCCAAAGCCGATTGAAACCTTGGAAATTTGGGAGAAAGAGGGAAGAGCAGCTGGCTGCCCCAGCAGAGGGGGAATGGCACACGCTTTTCCGGAGCGTGGGCATAGGTCGGTGGGGAAGGGGTGTTTACTTTGATCTTACAGAATCCTAGTTGAGACATTGTAGATGGAAAGGGAGGGACTTGAATAGGATGGAAACCAACTTCTGATTATGCAGATTTATGCCTTTATTTTTTAGCTTTTTTTTTTTTTTTTTTTTTTTTTTTTTTTTTTTTTTTTTTTTTTTTTATGTTCAGTCTTCCAAGTTGGTTTAGTTTGGTTCTCTAGAGCTGTATAGTTTGGTTAAATAATTAGTAATTTAGTTTTCTATGGAATTAGGCTCACAATTAACCCTTTTTTCTTTGATATTTATTTCTTGGCTCCAATTTTTTTACTCTTTTCAGTGCTGATTTTGTTGTTTTCCTTTGGCTGAGGAATCTGTGTAGAGCTTTGCTGATGTTGCGAGATGTAGCTACCCGAGAAACACGGAATGGAACACACTAGAAGTGCACCCTTTTAATCTTTACTAGTCATTGTGAAGTTGCTGTGTAAGTTAATAAACACAATTGTAAATACATTGTTTGCTGGGCGACTCTGGCCGAGTTACAGTGCAGGAAGGAATTCTCGAGTCTGTGTTGCGATTGTGAATTAAACGGACAATTGCAAGGGAATGTTCAGGCTCCTCCTTGGTTCTCTTCTGCCTCTCTCTCTACCATCTAAAATAACCAACTGGGGGAGAGGAAGGGAATCATCCTCACCACCACTTTCCCCAGGAAGCGGGCATAAAAGAGTTGGAATTCTTCATTCCTGAGGTGAATGCCAGGCTCCTGCCCTGCCCTGGGTTTCTAGCAGCTCTGCACAACAATAACTTAAAGGCAGAACGAGATGTAAAAGTGCTTTTCTAATGCAATATTAAAGGCGAGTTTTTTTGACGTGGCATGTCTTGAAATAAACATCAATGATATGTGACAAAGGATCATTCTTTATTTAAAAGAAACTCTCTGGGGGAAGGAAACCTGGCTGCTTTTCCTTTGTTGTACTGTTCTTAACCGTGCAGAAGTGCTTCATCCTGCTGCTTCTTCCTTTGCTTTGGTTTGCTTTTTCCTTCTTTGGTTTTCCCTGCAGCTTCTGWTGGTCCTCATGTGGCTGTTCCCCACAAGCACATTCTTTTTTTCCCCTTGCTGCTAATAGAACCAGCCTCCTCTGCTTCCCACAGTCCCAAGCTGTAAGYACTGGTTTGAGGAGCTGGCTTAGCCCGTATGGGCTATGGTGGCCCAGCAGCCTGGCTGCTTTTCCTGCAAGGCCTGAGAGCAGGTTTGTCCAGAGCTCCCTGGAAACAAATGTCTGGAGAGCAGCTCAGGGTTCAGCCCTGGGGCTGCAGGAGCACGGACGAGGCCGTGGTTSGGCACTTCCACATGAGCTCCCCGGGGCTGCTCAGCACAGCCAGGTATGTTCAGTRCATGTCCTTGCTAATTGTCCTTGCTTAACGTGACCACAGGGCTCAATCCTGTCCTGATCCTAGTTTTCCAGAGAAAACACATTTCCAAAGTGAGCACAGGAGCAACGTGGTCTTTATATAAATTTTGTTTCTRTTTTTTTTTTGCACCATCCATCTGTCAGGTTTTYGATTTTAATTTTCGTTTGCTCCATGGACGTGGCCAGTGGAACCATGGGAACAGACTTTTTAGTGCTGACTTTCGTGTGATTTTTTGAGTGAAGGTCTCGGCTCTGTTTCTTTTCTCCTCCCTGCCTGRCTTGCTCGTTGTACAGTCCATCATGCAGCTATTCCATGCCTCACTTTTTGTCTTGATAAAAGTAGTTGAAGAAATTGTGTAAGGGGAAAAAAAGGTTCCTTTTCTTCATGTTGGAATGTCACTGGTACCTCAGCTCTGTTTGATAATATGAACCAACAACAACAAGAGAACAAATCCTTAGCGCTTGAACTAAATAAATACCTGTCTCATTGGAAAGCTCTGGGTCTCTTCTCTCAGCAYGTCCAGCGCAGCACAGGCGGGAGGTGCAGCTCCTCACGGGATCTGAAGTGCTGCACGAGGCTTTTTGAGGGCAGGAATAGTTTTGGGGGGTTCTGTTTGGGAAGGAGTACGGTGCAGGGCTGTGTTTGCTGTTGCTGTGGTGTCTCTGCCATTGTTTGCAGCACCCCAGGAGYGATGCCGGGGACAGAGCCCGTCCTCCGCCGGCTGCAGCTGCGCCTTTCTGCTCCTTTCCCGCTCTGCCTCCGGCTGCTTCCTCTGTTCCCTCCCCAAAGGCGATGCTGTGCGGCCTCTCCGCTGCCTCAGCTTCCCTGGCACGCGGGTGCACCGAGCCCAGCTTCCCTGAGGAGGATCCCTCCTGAGCCTCCTTCTTGCTGGAGATGGCAGCCAGGTCAGCGGGGCTGGGGTGGTGAGTAACAGACGCTCTTTGATGAGTTCTCCTTTGCTTTCCTGAAGGAGGGAATCGTGGAATCACAGCATGGTGGGGTTGGAAGGGACCTGCAATACCATCCACTGGGTGTTAAACAGGTTGTTCCAAGCCCCATCCAACATGACCAATAGAGAAGGGCAATTACCTGGATTTGGTGTTGGAACCATCAGCCCAACCTTGGTCTCTTGGTCAAGCTCTTCACTGTTAAAAGGACAGTGAATAAACTGGAATATAGCRGTGGAGATATGCTGGGATTAGGGGTATGGAAATGTCCTGTGGGGACACATCACTGGAGAAGGCTTCTGTCACTTGGGGGAGCTTCTGTTCCTTGTACCTGGCACCTCTAGCTCCTGCCGTGGGTGAGAGGCTTTGGCAGCACCACGTTCACCTCCCTGGGGAGCATCGAGGCGTGACAGCCTCGATTCCTCCTGRCTGCTGCCGTGGGTAGCCTCGGGACTCTCATAGTCACTCATTGTGCTGTCTCAACTACCCTCTGGGGATTAAACTGCAGAGACAGAGCTGCTGTGAAGCTGGGAATGGGCTGGGGGCACCCACCAGCTCCGGAAGGTGCTCCTGGCCGCTCACTCGTGACTGCAGTGGGTCGAGCTCCCTCCCAGCCCAGTTTCAAAATCCAASAGGGGATATCTGGCTCGGGTTGGAGGGTGCTGACAGCTTCTTTGCTTGCTGGTAGGATCAGCCCTGTTTTTTTCCAGGCTGGAGGAGCCACAGCATCCTCCTGGCAGCATCTGCAGAGCTGCTGCAGCAGCCGAGCCGTTTTCACGCTGCAGTTTCGYTTCCAGCGCCTGAATCCTCAGCAAAACAAAGTGCAAGGGCTCTCCCTACCTGCTGCAGCAGCACCTTTTTCCATGCTGGGCATGTCCCAGATCCAGAGGAAGATGAATGGGGTGGGCAGCCTGCGGCACAGGCTGCCAGCGCTCCCTCACTCCGGCTGCAGACAGCCGGACCTCAGAGCAGCCTTTCCSTCCCATCTGCACTGCTCTCCTGCTGCCTGAGCCGGACTTTCCAGGCTTGCTGGGCTTGRGTTTTCACCAATGGAATTGTTTTTTCATCAGCTTAATTGATTTTCCATCAGCTGGCAAAAATACCAATTTTATTTGCTCCCCTCTTTAACAGTTTTTTTCCTTCCCTGCCCTGGTCCGAGCGCGTGGTAGAACAATGTGGCATTTTATACAATMTTTAGGATCCCCCTGAAGGAGCAATGCTGGAAACGTTGGGCGTGTTGGGAATAAAATGCCCGTGGAATTGCAGCTCTGCCCTTCCCGGGAGGATCAGGGGTCGGGAAGGGCTGGAGGCAGCTGGGGGATGATGCTCCTGCTGCCCCAGGGCTCTGCCCTGCTGGGTGGGGAGGGAGGAGTGCTGTTTCCCAATCGAATTTTCCAGGCTTGCCACTTGTTTCCAATGGTTTGGATATGAATTAGAGCCATTTTGAGTGCTCGCTGTGGGCCACCCGGAGAGCACGTCTGGGACGAGGATGTTACTAAMAGCTTGATTAAAGTTATTGCTAATTAAAGCACTGGAGTGTCTCCTGCAGCCAGTGGGTCCATCCGTGGCGCTGTGTGTCTCAGATACAGGGTACGGAAGGGAAAAAATGGGATTTATCCACGCTCACAGCGCTKCTGGTTTGGTACTGACCTTTCCTGCATTTATCCCAGCTCAGGAAGAGGGGCCAGTTGGAAATTGGAGGTTTTATCCTGACATTTCCCGAGCTGCTTGGTTTCCAGAGAAGTGGGCTGGGATCACAGTGAGGGTCACGGGGCCCCAGCTGATTCCTGTGCCATGGGACATTGTGGGATTCATTTCTTCAGGCGGTTTGTGGGCATGACGGGCATTAATGGCCTGTGCCTGCTCCTTACTGCGGATCCCGTTTTCCCGAGGGGTTTGGAGTTGTTCTGAGCTTTGCTCCGTGCTCGGAGCTTCAGCAGCTCTCCCTGCTGGGACAGAGGAGCGCTGCGGGTCGGGACTGGAGTGGATCAGCCCTGATCTCTGTCCCTCTGGTCCTGCCCAGCACCGTGAGCTCCTGGGAAGCCCTCATGAGCGGAGCAGACCAAGCCAGGTACTTTTGTGGGCTGTGGTTCTATTGTTTGTGCTTCCAAAATTATTTCTATCATATTTAATCACTCCTTCGTTCAGCTCCCTAGCACAGGGCCTGGCTGCCGCCAGCTGCTCCCACCGGCAGCGCCAAGACCCCGGGGATTGCAGCAGGAGATCCTGGTCCACCACTGTCCTTGCCTGGATTGCTCCATGTCCCTGGATCTCTGGGAGACCAGCACAGCGGGAGAGAAGCAGGAATGGCTTTGGGATGTTCAGGTACCACAGGGATGAGGAGAGTGGGAATCTGAACTGGAAAAAGGAGCTTTGGCGGGTTAGCAGCTGGATGTGGCATGGGAAGAAGGGACAGTTTCTAGGTTGTGTTGCTCTCAGTGACAAGTTTCCAGATGTTTCCATCTCCAGGTTCCCAAGTTTCTCACCTGGGATTATGCACCTTGTTTGGTGACTCGTGGAATGGATATTGGGCAGGAAGAGTTTAAAGCAGATACCAGAGAAAAATTTTTCCCTGTGGGGGTGCTGAGGCTCTGGCACAGGTTGCCAAGAGAAGCTTCCCAATATCCCATCCATCCCATTCCCTTTGTCCTGTCCCTCCATCCCTTGTCCCCAGTCCCTCTCCAGCTCTCCTGGAGCCCCTTTAGGCCCTGCCAAGGGCTCTGAGCTCTCCCTGGATCCTTCCCTTCTCCAGGTGAGCACCCCCAGCTCTCCCAGCCTGGCTCCAGAGGGCTCCATCCCTTGRAGCAGCTCCTTGTTCTCCTCTGGGCTCTYTCCAGCMGCTCCAGCTCCTTCTGCTGTCGGCCCCAGGGCTGGGGCAGCTCTGCAGGTGGGGGCTCACCTGAGCACAGGGGCACAGGGGCAGGATCCCCCCTCCCCTGCTGCCCATGCTGGGGGAGCTGGTGACATCCCTGGGCAGCTCTCCAGGGGGACACAATCTTTCCCACCCCCGGAGGTGGCCAGGGCTGAGCATTCCATCCTCATCCTCACTCACCCGCAGCCAGGGCTGGTTTTTCGCTGCCTTTATTAGACTTCAAAGAGATAGTTTTGTACTTTTTGTTCTCTTTCCGGGAGCGGGTGCACAGCAGGAAGGAGGCAGGGAATGCAGGAGAGGATGAGGATCGTGTGTTGGGATATCCCAATCCCCCGATGGGCACAGGGATGAACTGCCCTGGGGCTCTAAAGGGAGAGCAGGCTGGGGTGCTGGTGTCACTGGTGGTTTTCTATCCAGTTGTGGGGTCTGTGATTCCTACATTTCATGTCAGTTGTGTTTCCAGGATACAATCCTGGCTCCAGGGGTGACACTCGGCAGCTGCTCCATCCTCCTCCTTCCATCGCCATCCCTCTGGTGCTGCCCAACCAAAACCCTGAGCTGCTGCTTGTCCCCTGGCCTGACCATGTGTCCCCCCTCAATCCCAAATCCCTGCTGTGAAGATCCCGGCCTGGCTGCCAAAAGGATCCCTGGTGTCCATGGAGAGCTGCCTGTCTCCCCATCCTAAAAATCAGGGTGAAACGGAGGAGTGTCCTTCCCACTTGCCTGGAGAGGTTGGGATATTCCCTGGGCTCTTCTCAGCCCAATTCCCAGGAGTTTCACTGCACTTCCTGAGGCTTTTGCACCATTTCTCCAACTTGGCTAGGCCCAGAGGACTGGTGTGTGGAAAGGGGTGGAAATCCTGCAAAGGTTTTCCTCCTCCTTATTTTTACACCCACCTCTCGAGCATCCCCGTGGTTGCCCCCCCATGTCAGCTCCTGCTCCGGTGCTGGAGCCTCTCCCAAAAAAAGCCCTTAAAAAGCCTCTGCATTGTGGGGTTCACCCAGCCAAAAAAGATCCAGCCACTTCCCCCCAAATGAGGACCCCTTGCTCCCAAACCCAGTATTTCTGCAGCCAGCTCCCTGTGGAGATTCGGGGTGGGGAAGCTCTGCCAACAGCCCTGGCAGCTCCAGGGCCCTCTGCCGATGGGAATCAGATGCTGTGGGGTTCTGGAGTGGGTTTGGGGGGCTCTGAAGCACACGGGGGTTATTTAATGCAGAAGCCGGGGCCGGGAGGAAGGTGTGTGCGGGGTCCCTGTCCCCAGGGCGTTTGGGTGAGGCTGAGGGGGGCTCAGTGCAGGTTCCAAGCCGGGAGCGGGTTGGGAGCGAGGCGGGGGCTAAAACCAGCACGGCATCCACATGAAGGAGCCCAGGGCGGCRCCGGTGGCCGCCCCCGCCAGCAGCCCCAGGGCCATCTGGTCCCCGGAGACGCGGTAGGGATCCTCGCGCACGATGACGTGGGTCACGCCGGGAGCTGCGGGGGAAAACGGGAAAACGAGAAAATGGGAAAATGAGAAAACGGGAAAATGGGAAAACGGGAAAATAAGAAAACGGGAAAATGGGAAAATGGGAAAAGGAGAAAACAGGAAAATGGGAAAACAGGAAAATGGAAAAATGGGAAAATGGGAAAACAGGAAAATGAGAAAATGGGAAAACAGGAAAATGGGAAAAGGGGCAGGGAGCCAGTGGAGCGGCCTCGCGGCACACCCTGCGGCTGTGGGCCACCCACCTCCATACTGGTGGCCGTAGTGGCCGGAGCTGATGTAGGCGGCCTGGTGCGAGTCCAGGGGCACTGTCTGGTAATAGTCGTCGTCGTAGGGGTCGTACACGTGCACCTGCAGCAGCACAGGGGGGATTTGTGGGGCCGGGGCCGGGATGTGGCTTCCCTGGGTGGGATGGGGCCCTGGGGCCCTCGGGTGGGGAATTCAAAGGGTCCCAAAGGCTGGGGCACCCTGTGCTCAGGTCACCCTGACTCTGCCCCTCCCTTGTCGCCTTAACTCTGCTCCCATTCCCCTTAACAGTGTCCCTGTCACTTTAACCATGTCCTTGTGATCTTGACTCTGCTCCCATTCCCTGAAACATCTCCTGTCACCTTAACTGTGTCCCTGTTCCCCTTAACTGTGTCCCTATCACCTTAACATTGTCCCTGTCACCTTAACCGTGTCTCTGTCATCTTAACSGTGTTCCTGTCACCTCAGTTCTGTTCCTATTGCCTCTAACTGTCCCTGTCACCCTAATTATGTCCCACCACATCAACTCTGCCCCCATCCCTGTTAACCATGTTCCTGTCACATTAATGGTGTCCYTGTCTCCTCACCTGTGTCCCCATAACGCTGTGTCCCTGTCACCTTAACTCTACTCCCGTCACCCCCCACCAGTGCGCAGRGTCCCCGTGGCTGTGGCACCTGCCATCAGTGGTGGCATCCAACCCTTCCCCACCTTCCTCTCTGTGCCCTGAGGCTGCACAGTGGRTGTTGGGGAGCCCCCCCAGCTCAGTGTCAGCCCTGGGAGAGATCAGGGCTTGGGTAACGTCCCCCTGCCCAAACCCCAAATCTAATGCCAGGACGCTGTCCCCGCTCCGGGGGATGAAGGCTCACCGGGGTGGATTTAGACTCCAGCACGGCCATCTTCCAAGCCCTGCAAACAAAACAGAGGCATTAATTTTTGGCAGGTGCTGGAGGGATGGGAATTGCCCCCCTCTTCCCCATGGGGACCTGGATGAGGCCATGGGGCCGGCACTCATCTTTAATTCTCTATTAATGAGCCAACATTAATTGGGATTGGGAATGTGCTGGGAGGTACCTGACACCAGAGGGATRGGCACAGGGCAGTCCCTGGGAATGGCCCCAGCTAAAACAAGGGCAAGCAGCAAAATAACATCTGAATTTGGGAGGAAAAGTGGGTAATGGATGAATTTCCCCTCAGCTGAGGTTATGCTCAGTTGATGAAGCTCTGCTTGGCCACAGCTGAAGRTCTCCCTCCATCTGAGTTCAACTGAACATTTGCCACTTCTAATTTTTGAAAGTTTTATTTTATAAAAAAATCAATTTTTACGAAAATAAAATTAGTTTTAAAAATTAATTTTGTATTTTAAAAATAAATAGAAGGGGAACAGCACTAAAGTGAGCAGTTTGCCTCAAGCCAGCAAGGGCTTCACATTAATATTTTATTATTTCCAMATATTAATGAAAACCCTTCTCCAGTGATCCTCAGTTCAGGCCAAGAGGGGATTTCTCACCCATGAGGAAAACCCACCCCTCAGGAGACTGAGTGTTTAAAAAAAGCTGCTTTTGGCCCTGGATTATTCAGCGGGAACCCCAAATCTCCTCCTGCACCTTTTATCCTGAGAGTGCAGGTAAAAAGGTGTTTGAGAAAACGGGCTGGGGATGGGTTTAGCCAAGGGAGGGATGYGGTGGCAGCGGGACGGGGCTCTCCTGCAGCCCAGGCTCTTTCCAGGCTGGGATTACCGGGATGGAGAGGTGGCTTACACGGCGTCGTCCTCGCTCTCGGCACACAGTGTGGTCTTGGAGCCGTCCCGCAGCACCACAGTCAGCAGGCACTCCCGGCTCCTCCCCTCGGGCGGCTGCACGTCTGCAGGGAAAGGGAAGGGAAGGGCTGGGATCCATCCTCGCCCGAGGAGAAGCCCCAGAGAGCCTCCCCRGGCTCCACATTCCCCCTGGCACAAGGGCTGGTGGGTTTAGGCTTGGCTCCGTCTCCACGTGCAGGATGCACTCAGGATCTCTCAGGGTAAAAGCCAACCCAAGGAATGAGCTGACRGGCACAAACCTCCACCCCCACGGCACAAGGAACAGGGAAGGGCAGCAAGCTCCAAAAATCTGCTCGGGGCCACGAGGCCGAGCTGCCTTTGCTTTGAACTTGCCAGAGTGCCCCAAATTTTGTAGGAACAGGAGATGCTCATTGCTGGGGTGGGATCGTGAGCTTGAGCAAGAGCAAAACCTTAAATCCATGCTGCTCCTGTGTCTGCCCCCATCCCCAAGCTTGGCAGGACCCTCCGGTGAGCACAAAGCTCTGGGATTGTGCTCCCACCGCTGCTCCCAGCCCAAGAAAGGCGCTTTGTGCGGCGGCCGTGGGCTGCGGGGCCCAGCCAAGCTGCCGCTTTGTTCCCCTTGTTTGTGCGAGACGTGAGCGATGAGTCAGGGCCGTGGGATCCTGTTTGCTACAAGCACAAACCAGGAGAAGAGTTCCTCCTCCTTCCCTTCTTTCCTTCCCCCGGGAAAAGCGGCATGAGAGACGATCCAGCGTCTCCTGGCTGGGAGCGAGAAGSGGGGAACGGGGCAGCCTGGATTATTTTGGGGCTCTGCTGGGTGTACATAGGGTGCATCATTTCCAAGGGGTGCAGCCCCATGTGGGATGGGGTTGGGAACGGGGCTGGGCTCACCTTTGCACTCACGGCCGATCCGCACGTCCCGGCAGCTGTACTTGATGTGGATCCGGCCGTCCATGTCCCGCTGCGTCTCGTCGTGGTAATAAACCAAGCTGCCATCCAGGTAGAGGACAAACCAGTTCCTCTTCCAGCGGCGCAGGATGGAGCCTGGTGGGACGGGGGGCGGGTGAAGGACCCCGGTGGGACTCAGCCAGCGCGTTTACGAGACCCGATGTCAACCCCCACATCCCTCTGGTTCCCGTGAGCCGCAGCATCCCGCAGGACACCTGCGCCTGGCGTGAGCATCCGGGGCAGCGGGACCAGGTGGCCCTCAACTGACAAAGGCTGCCAAAAACGCCATCAGGGCATTTGGAGCCGCCCTGCCGAGTGCACGGGAGCAGCTCCAGCCCCGGACACGGAGCCATGTGTCTGCTCTCATGGCAGGCAGCCCCTCGCTCCTTACGTAAATCCGCGAGCGGCTGAGCCGCAATCCCCCTGCTGCCGTGGATTAACCGCCCAGGTTGGGGCTCCTTGGCTCCCCACACCCCACCTCTTCCCAGCAAACCCCAACGGGTTTTCTGGGGGGCTTCCAGCCTGGAAAGTTCGAGAGTGGAACTTACTCTGCCGCCAAAGCCAACCGCTCTTCACCAGTGCCATGGCTGCCGTGGGCTTAACCGGATCTGTCGGGATGGGAAGAATAACGGGGTTAAAATAGCAGCTCTTGCCTCGCCTCCGGCTCTGCCCATGGCCCTCGCCTCCCCACAGCCTCCGGGGCCGAGCAGGATGGGGATTCACCCTCGTTGCTCCTGGTATTTTTGGGGGATGAGCTCAGYGCCCAGGTTAATCGGGGTGAGACAGACGCGGGATTTCATCATCTGGGAACCATCGCGAAGGAGCCGCTCCGGCCACCTTTCTTTCTGCCTTTAATCTCGTTGGGATTTAGGGATTATCGTCCCGTGGAGGTAAATGGAGAAATCCGGGCCACCAATGAAAGCAGGCAGTGCCTCCCCACAGCCCCGGTAACTTTCCATGGTAAACGACACCTACACTTGTTTATTTTCCCTGCCTGGATGGAAATCAGTCCTTAATAGGGCCATGAAGTCATCGCTCCCCAGGTCCCCAAGCAAAGCCAACACCCCAGGGACAGGCAGGAGCAGTTCCCTGGCCGCAGCCCCATATCCATGCATCAGCTGGGAATCCCAGCACTCCAGTGATGRGAACTCGATACCCTGGGATGGCCTCCAGGATCTCCCACCGCCTGTGGGGGCACAGCAAGGCACAAACACCCCCAGCACCTCTGTGCCTGTGTTACGGAGTGCCTGAATCCCCGAGGACCCATGTCCCGGTGGAGTTTGCAGCCCTTGTACTGCCCACATCCCCAGGGATCACAGCCCATGGATACCCCATCCCCTGGCACCCTCACCCTGCACTGCCCACATCCCAGGGATCACAGCCCATGGATACCCCATCCCCTGGCACCCTCACCCTCCTGCCCACATCCCAGGGATCACAGCCCATGGATACCCCATCCCCTGGCACCCTCACCCTGCACTGCCCACATCCCAGGGATCACAGCCCATGGATACCCCATCCCCTGGCACCCTCACCCTCCTGCCCACATCCCAGGGATCACAGCCCATGGATACCCCATCCCCTGGCACCCTCACCCTGCACTGCCCACATCCCAGGGATCACCCATGGATACCCCATCCCCTGGCACCCTCACCCTCCTGCCCTCGCACCCCAGGTACCCCCTCCCTCCACACTCTCATCCCTGTTCCACCCCCATCCCACTCTATTTGCAATCCCTCCGTACCCACATCTGGTGCGCTCATCCCACATTCCCTGGCATCCCTTTCCCTCCGTACCCACATTTCGTGGCACCGTCTGCGCGTCCCTCCCGAGCCCATCCCCTGAGTAGCGGCCCCCGGTCCCGTCCCCGGTGCCCCGAGCCCCCCGCAGCCGCCCCGCGCATCGCTCACCGGGCGGAGGCGGCGGTGCCCGCTGCGGGATGCGCTGCGCTCCGCTCCCGCCGCCCGGCTCTACCCGCCCGCGCGGCTCGCCGGGAGCTGTAGTCCGGCAGCGGCATCCCCGAGCGCCGGCCGCCGCCGACAATCCCGCTTTCCAGCGCTTTAGCCCCAAAAAGCCGCCGCTCGGCGCCTGCGCGGCCGGGATGCTGCCGGGCTGCTGCCAGCGGGGATGCCCGGGCTGGTCCAGCACCGCCGATTCTCGCTTTCCCCTCGAATCCCCCCTTTTCTCCGTTCACGGAGCACATCCAGCAGTGTGCGTGTCCTTGGGAGGGGGCTCGGCTCAAAGGGGAGCCCCCAATTTGGGGGTTTGGGGGGCTGCTACCCCGCATGGAGCTGGGGGCGATGCCTGGAGATGCAGGATTTTCCTGCGGTGCTGGGAATGGGGCTGAGGAGGTGTTTCATGCCGGGCAGCATAAATCGGGAATGACTCAAATTTTAAGCACTAAAATGCTCGTCTGAAATGAATTTCCAAGCGGAGTGAACAATCCCATGGATCAAAATCAAGGCCTGACCTGGCTTCTGCTGGAATTAGAACTGACCCAGGCTCTGGGATATGAGGTTGGATTATTTGGAGAAGTCCAGGAATAAAACAGGTGATAGTTGAGGCTGGGCTGTTAATAAAGTTGTTTATTAAGCACATGGCAACCCTTAATGTATTAAAAAATTCTATTCTAGCAGGTTTTTCAATGCAAAGCCCTTTCCCCTCCTCTCCCTCCAGTGCTCGCTTTACTCTAGCAAGCAGCATTAGGAATTAAATTAATCCAACAGCCCACTGGATGATCCCAGAGGAGTTAAACTGGAATCGCCCCCTCAGCCAGGCCACACTCACAGCCTTGTGCATCCCTCGTGCTGGTTACGGGGCCACAAAACATCCTGCTAGTGCTGACCATTTCCAAAAGCAGGGACATTATTTGGAAATCCAGCTGGCCCAGAGATTTTGAACTGCAATGGGTGCAGAAAAAAGTTCCCCAGGAAGGGATTTGGGCTGAAATTTGGATTTATCCTGGGTTACCCACTGGTATTGTGCTGCCCCTCCAGACAGACACATGTCACAGTTTGGCATCAGTTGTTCTCAAAGAATTATTCTATTTTCCGTTGTGATTTTCCTCTTGGGAAGTGGGTGTGGTGTGGGGTTTGCGGGACTTGGTCTATTCACTTTTTGTAAACTGGRGTGAGTTTTTTTTTAATGTTAAGTAGGACAAATTTGGGGCATGCTGGATGGAAGTGGTGATCCAAAGAGCCAGGAAATTATTTCCAGCCAGCAAAAGGAGAGGATGCAATGTGGGAATACATTCTGCCTCTTGCCCAGAAGAGGCAGATCCTGGATTTTTCCCCAATTTCCATAGAATTGGGTGCTGCTCAATAAAATATATGAACTTGCTTGCCTCCAGTTTGTTTTTCCTCCAGCTCTGTGTGCAGCGGCTCGTGCCTGGGGGGAATCTCCCCCATCCCAGCCACAGCCTTGGGTTTTGGGTAGGAAACAGAGGAATTCTGAAACTCTCCCCAAGTTCCAGAAAATCTGTGTTTCCCACGGGGGATCTCCCTGGATTTCGTGGTGCTGTGGGGACAGAAGCTCTGTGGGTTCGGAGCTGAWCCTGGGGACAGCTGCAGGTGACACCTGAAGCGTTTGAAGGTTCACACCTGGTGAAAGAGCCCCCAAATCCCTCTGGAGATTTTCCCATATCTGAGCGTGTCCCACTGGTGCCGCTGGAATCCTGAGGGAGAAATGTTTCCTCGGACGTGTTCTTCATCCCGTTCATCCCATCACGTCCCAGGGTGGCGAACAGACCCTTGTCACCCCTCTTCCAGCTCCCCGATGCCCAAGGGAGGTGTTCCGCGTCCGTGGCTCAGCAAATGCAATGTACAGCGCGAAACTACGTTAAAAAAAAAACAAAGAAAAAAAGCGCAGCAAAATACTTCGAACAGCAACGAGTGTTGTGAAGGATCGAGGCGGGGGTGACGTGCCCGGCTCGTGTCAGTCCCCGCGTGGAGACGCACAGGAATTCCCCATCTCTTCCCGAATGACTCCTCTGCTGCCCGGAGCAGGGTGCGGGACGGGTTTGGGTGCGGGAGGACGGGACAGAGCCCCATGGAGGCAGCGCGGGGGGTGCGGGCAAGGCCGGGCCCCGCCGCTCYCCGCTCCCCTCCCGCTGCCGGCTCTGCGCTCGCCAGGTGAGCCGGGAAGGCTCTCCCAGAGGCGGGATCAGCTCCCGGGTCCCCGTGGAGCCCCACCTGRCACATCCCGGTGGCACTCCCGCAGCGGCCTTCTCCCTCCCATCAGCCTTCGCGGACTACAACTCCCGTCATGCCCCCCTGAACTACAGCTCCCGCTGTGTCCCGCGGCTCTGCCGCTGCCGTACTACAGCTCCCAGCACAACTCGCGCCTGCCCGGGCCCTGTCGCCGTATGTCCTTCCCCGCCCGCGGCGCGAACTACACTGCCCATGACCCTCCGCGCGGGGCGGCCAGCGGCGGACGGCGGCGGCGGCGCGCGGGACATGCCGGGAGCTGTAGTCCCCGCAGCGGCGGCGGCTGTAACGGTCCCGCTGGTGGTACTGCCCCCCCCTACCCCCCCCCATTCCCGGCTGGCGGCTGCGGGAGCAGCGGGAAGAGGAGGAGGAGGAGGAGGTGGAGAGGGAGAGCTGCTCTACCGGCACAGGGGCCGCCGCCGCCCGAGCAGCCGCAGGTAAAGGGAGGGGAAGGGGGGACACCCCCGGGTGACAGCGGCGGGAAAGGGATGGCGGCGAGTGGGGACCGCGGTGATGGAGGGGGGTGACCGGGGGCTCCCCCCGAGCCCCGGAGCGCACAGGGAGGGGGCGGTGGGGCGAGCATCACCGCCACCCCCGCGGGGACAGCGCCGTGCGGGGCGGGGGCGCCGGGCCGGGGCACGGGGAGAGCGGAGCCGCGGGGCGGGGGGGACCGGCCCCGGGATTGTCGCTCCCCGTTAGAGCCCTGTCCCCCGGGGCTGCTGCCCCCCGCGCGGAGCCTGCTGCCCCCGGGGCTCTGTCCCCGCCGCCCCTCGGAGCTGTGTCCCCCCGGGGCTCTATCCCCCCGTACCCCCGTGCCTGTTGTGTGTCCCCCCTTCTCCCAGTGTGTCCCTCCGGGGCTGTCGTCCCCTGGAGCCTGTTGTGTGTCCCCGCAGCCTGTTGCCCCCAAAAGCCGCTGTCCCCACTCCCATGGGCTGTGTCCCCCCACCCCAGAGCCTCCTCCAGGGGCTGCTCCCCCGTCCCAGGCTCATCCCCATCCACGGGAAGGGGATGCCCGGGCTGGGGGTGCCCCCAGGAATGTGCGAACACCCCCAAACCCCTCCCGGCACGTGGGGACGGCAGGAGCGACGCCGGGGATGTCGCCGAGCCCGCGGTGACTCCGTGCCATGGCCAGGGCCGGGCTGCGGCCGTCGCCGCTGTCCTGCAGCCCCCCGAAATGGGGGGGACCATTTCAGACCTTCCGAAATGGGGATCAAATGGTTAAAGGGTTTGGGGAGCGGGGGGATGCCGGCAGCATCCACAGGAATGGAAGCGGGGCCATCCAGTTGGGAAATGCGGGGCGGTGTTGGATTCGCTGCCTGTGTAATATACATGCTTCGTTCGTTTCTATGAAAATGTACATTTCTTCCCCATTTTTTTTTTTTTTTTAAATCTCTTTTTGGTAATGATTGCTCGCACGCTCTGTTGTTGGCATTGTGGCGTTCAGGGTAGCGAAGTCCATCGCTATATTGTGGGTGAATAAAGCCAAAAAGGAGCTTGGTTTCAGTCCTTTATAGAAAGCAGAGGAGCCTGCAAGTATGGAAATGAAATAAATATTCATTAGCAAAATGAGGTTTTGTACCGGCTTGGGTTTTGGGGGCATTTTTTCCCCCTGCTGCACATCGTGATGAGCTTTCGGGTTATGGTTTGTATTTCCACAGGCTGGATTTTATTTATTCGGTGCTCATTATTGTCAAGTGTAGAAAAATGAGCAGGTTGAGGGTATTTTTTTCCCCTCTCCTGGACAAAGACATGTTGTACTAAGCAGAAAGAAACCCCAGAAAGATTCTATTTCTGTTTTAATCAAAGTATGATTTAAGATGCAATGCTGTGTTTATTTTTGCTGTTAAATAGCGATGGAGGAAGTCAGAGCTTTTTTTTTTTTTTGTGTGTGTGTGTTTTTTTAAAGGAATGTGAATGATGGAAACATCTTTAGGGAAACATTTTGCTGGACTTGATTGCATCAACTGCATTATTTCATAAAATGTGAGCTGTGAAGTGGTTGTTGATTAGAACTCAAATTGAGGAGCGATGTTGAGCAATGTAAAGAAAAAGGAAATTAGTATGAAGAGGCCAAATGCTTATTTTCTTTTTTTTTTTTTTTTCCAGTTCTTTCTTGCTCTGAATTTTAACTGTTTCATGGATTCCCTTGACCTTTATGGTTGAGTCTATTAAAAAAAAAACCCAACCAACAGCTATGGTCTGTATAGTTATTCTTGTTGTATATATAATTATTAAAAGCAGTCAGCCTTGTGTGTTTTGCATTACATTTTTATTGAATCTGATTAACTTTTGTTCTGGAAGTTGCAAATATCAACTTACCCAGTTTTGCATCCCAACTTTTTATTTACCAAAGCAAACGCTGACATTTTTAGAAGGAATCTTTCTCTCCCAAATCAAATGCTTTGTTTTAGGGAACGTGGGATAAGTGTTACAGATATTATTGTCCAGTTCTGGAGGGTYTGAGGGATATTCTTCAGCTGATTAAAATTCCTGACTGTCAGCAAAGACACACTTTTTTTTGACAGGTAGTGTGTATCTACAGTCCTCTGGAACAAAGGGATTGGAAGCCGTGAAGGTGTTTGGAATCTGTTGTGAAAATATTCCTTCTAGTGAGAAACCTAAATTGCATAAAAATGGATGTGGAATAACTGGGATTCAGTCATTTAGGGAGAGCATTTATGGAGATGCTTTCTTGTCTCAGTGGACGCTCATCTGTCAGAGTCTGTGTGAGCCTGCATTGCAGTGGGTGAACTGTCCAGGCACTTCAAAACCCCACTCTGCAGTTTAGGGTTCACAGTCCCCTGGATCCATAACCCATGGCAGGGATAACAGGGAAAGGCAGGGAACAGAGGTGATGCTGCTCCTGGTGCTCCTGGAAACATTTCTTTGGAGCAGCAGCTCTGTGAAAGGCCCTCGGTACCTGCACTGAAAGCATAATTAAAATGATAATTAAATTGGGGCTCAATTGAATTAGGCGATGTGCCTGGAAGAGCTCAGCTCGCCGCGGAGGTGTGAGCTGCAGCCAGGGGAGGTGTGTGCTCGCCCCAGGGTGCTGCTGCTTTCGGGAAGTTCTCCAAGGCKTGGGATCGCCCCGACTCCCTTCCAGGGAAGTGGGACGTTCACCGCTGGGTTGTCACTGCGGGGTCACCTGTGGTGAGGGCCGTGGCAAGGACACAATTCCATCTGGCTCCAGATCCAGGTGTGCTGTTGAGGTGTTTCAGACCTCTCTGCTCAGTCAGAACCCTCTGTGATCCCAGGCAGCAGCTCGGAGCACACTCCCAGCTCTCTGGGAAGCGCCTGTCAAGGCTGTCAGAAGGCAAACACAACTTTTCTATCTGCCCTTGCTCGCTCTGTGCTGCCTTCGGCTGGATTGTGATCTTCATTTGTCTCACAGCCGTGCCTTTGGGGCCGATGGTATCAGCGGAGGCCCCCGGTTTCCCTTTCCGCAGCGCGAGTGCTCCGTGTACTTTGTGTTTCCTCTGCGATTCCCGAAGCCTCTCCGTGTGCCGGCCGTTCCTCTCCCTGTGTCTGTCCCCAGCCAGCTCCCTCGTGCCCTGATCCTCCTCGGCTGGCCCCAGGTTTGCTGCCTAAAATCCATCAGTTCTCATGTCCAGTGCATGGGAATATTCGATCCCGAATGACTGAGTGAGGACAGGCTCCTGTCGTACTCTGCAGTGTTTTCTGTTGATTTCAAAGGCCARTCCTTGGTCCCTTTGGATGCTGTTGGATTCTCGTGCTGTGCATCCCTTCAGTGAACAGATGATGATTTTTGTTTCACTGATAACAAATAAAATCCATTGGTCCATTTTTTTTTTACCTGTTGATGATCTTTTGAGCCTCAGAATTAAAAAATACTGACTCTTAATCTGTCACTGTTTAAAACTGGGAATAGATTTTCAGGAATTATTTCCATGTGACTGCACTACCAGTTGGACAGACCCAGAGCTGTTAAATTGTGTCACCTTCTTGTTCCTTCCACTCAGCTGAATCACTTGGCTCCTATTTTTGTGTGGAAAACATGGATATCCCTAAATACGAGGGAAGAATGTCAGTGGCAGGGCTGTGTTTATTTATRCAAATTCAGAATCCCAGRAGGGTTTGRGCTGAGAGGRACCTTAAAGCTCATCCAGTGCCACCCCCTGCCATGGCAGGGACACCTTCCMCTGTCMCAGGGTGCCCCAAACCCCAATGTCCARCCTGGSCTTGGGCACTKCCAGGGATCCAGGGGCAGCCACAKCTTCTCTGGGCACCCTGTGCCAGGAYCTCCCCACCCTCTCAGGGAAGGATTTTTTCCCAGTGAAATTTGTGTAAACATGATTTTTGAAGAAAGCGAGGATAATGTGATTGCACTTCCTACCTGCCCACCTGGGCAGAGCAGGACAATGAAACCACCGTAAAAACATGTCTGTGATACATATTCTGTGTTATACTCTGATTTATCAATTCTTTCTTAGGTGGAGAGTCTTGAGGTGGGAATTGATGTTAATTTATTTGTTAGCTTGAATGAGAAGCAAGAGCTGGGAATTTCCAGGATTTTCTTTTGCTGAGAGGCAGGTGTGCCATGGGTGTCCAAAGCAGGAATCCCAGACCTGGAATGAAGATCCCAAGAAGGAAAGATCTAGCTTTTAAGGTGTTTTCAGCATTTGCAGATCTGAAATTTATGGAAGCTCTTTATTTTTACAAACCATGTAGGGAACGAGGATGACAGAGACGCACGGATTTTTTAGAGTGTGAGTGGGGCTGGGATCATTTTTCCGAAGCTCCTCTGGGTTTTGTTTACTATGGATGTGCTGAAAACCCTGAGCACTGCACAGGAATTTCAAGTGACTGTGTGCTTTCTGGGAGGAAAAAATGTGGGCCTGCTGACGCTCCCCAGCAAACCATTTAGGAGATTATCGTCATAGGATTTATAAAAGCTGAAAAAAACCCGCATTCCCCTCCTCTGGTTTGTATTTGCTTGTGCTTTACCCTGTGTCTCCTTCCCCTCCTTGGCTGAAACAGTCATGTGGAAAACTGGAGAGTGGAAAAATGAAAAGTCAGAGCAGAAAACCGGGGTTTATCGTGGCCTTGCTACGATAACTTTCTCAATAGGAAGATTAAAGCTGAAGTGTATTTGTAGGCTGATCGTTTTTGCCTTCCTTGTCTCAGCAAGGGTTAGAGATTTGGGAGGATTATTGGAGACAAGCTTAGAGTATTTTATGAGAGGAAAAGTACTAAACTGGCAAAAAAAAAAAAAAGAATAGATGCCATCATGCCTGCTAGGCATGTCTAATTCTTTGATAAAATGGATAAAGATTGCAGACTGCAGCAAAAGTTAAAATAGACCATAACATCTCGGGGTCCGCAGGGTTTTTCCTTCTAATTTGCTGTAGAACCTAATAAAAAAGATTTGCCTCTTTCATGGCATCAGGCCCTTTATCTGCCACAAATTAAAGCC